GGACTTAGGTCATCCTTCTTTGCAAGTTTGACAAGGTAGCCTTTCTTCCAATCTGCAGGTATTTTTCCTTCCTTCCAAACCTTCTACAATAGTGGAGTGAGCGTGTCCACTGTTGTCTCTTAGTCTGTTTTCAGTGCTTCTGGAGGAATTCCATCTAATCCCGCTGCTTTCCCGAATGTCAGCAACTTTATGGCGTTCAGGACTTCACTTCTGCTTCTATCGAAAGGGCTTGTGTTAACTGGTAATTCTGCGGTTGCTAGTGGTACTTCTGGACGATTTGAAGGTGGTAGTGGTGGTTGATTCAAGAATTTTCTGAAGTGGTCAGTCCATTGTTTAATTTTTTTCTCCTTTTTGGTAAGTAGGTTTCCTTAACTATCTTTTGTCTGTTTCATGTGCGTTGATCTCCTCCCAGATAGTAACCTAGTTATTTGATATGATGTTGTCAGGTCTCTCCTATCATGAACGTATTCCGCTTCACTTGAAAATTTGTCGTAGAAGCGTCTTTCGTTCTGCGCACACTCTTCTTAACTTCTTTGTCCAGTGTTATATAGGTCATATGTATTTCCTCTTTTCGTTGTTCATCTCTCCACTCCACTGGTTCATCTTCTGCCCCACCATCTTCCTCTCTGCACTCTATCAACTAACATGTATCTGTAGAGATCCGTTCCTTGTCTTCCTTCTTCTTACTTCCTAACACGGTTATGCAGGTTTCCTTCTACGTCTCTTTCAAAGAGTTCCAGTGTTTTTGCACGGAGGTTTTTTTGAGAATGTCGCCAAATGTCTCCCATGTTTTCCTGATAGCTGGCCTGAAGAAGAGGAATGTTCTGTCCTAAACAACATTTTGATTGAAAACGGATTCCCTCTACGCTTCATAGACAAACACATCACATCTAAACCTCACAAAGAGAACCTTACCACCGTACCAAAAAAGACACTCTATATGAATCTAAACTTCAAAGATGATTCTGCCAAGGAGACTGTAAAAATGAGGATATCAAACGCTCTAAGGAGAACATTCTTTGCATCAGCGCTGAGACTAGCATTCTCTTGTCACCCAACGATATCTAACAACTCGAAGGAGAATCTACGTGCGCGTATATCAATTCACCTACTCTTATGGAGCCAGGTATATAGATCATTCAATGCAACTGTTATCTAAAAGCGTTGAAAAACACTGTCCCATGTGGTCACAAAGGTGTACCAATGCAGCTTTAAGGAGTATCATAATTGAGCACATCGTGGACACCAATCACCCCATCTCATGAACCTCCTCATCTGTAAGGTGAAAAGAAACCTCAGAACGTCTATATGTCTTTGTATTCTCTACATCACCAAATTTCTTGCCATCCATATAGAGAAACATAAACTGTGTATGCAAAGAAGACTGTTCAACCTTTTCTCCTTTCCTGGTCTTAGTTTTTAGTCTCTTCTCCCACCTCAATTTTCTGTTTTCACACTATTCCCTTCTCAAGTAATTTACTACTCATTCTTATTGCTATCCTCTGCCTAATCACAATTCATTTTCTGATCATATGGTTGTCCAAACTTATTCGGATGAATATTCACTACTCATCAAGTTTTGGTTAATATTTTACTTTTAATGACAGTTCAAATGATTGACACTATTTGTGTTGCTTGTTATGCTTGACAAGCCATTTCCGACTGTTATATCCTTGCACAAGAACAGATGCATAAATTTGCGATTGTACAGCATTAAAAAATGAAATCGACGAAAAGAGACTCTTCGCTGAAATACTTTACTTGCTCTTCTATCATACCTTGATGGGTTATATTTCATGCGTTGAAATCAGTTTACGTTGAAACCCAATCTAAATTTTACTTTCAAGAAAAGTAAATCTATCACGTTACAATAGAAAAGAGCTTTTCCAAAGAAAGGTAAAACATATTATACAGCTAGACTAATCGAGATTACAATGTAGACCTCATTATACAGTGAAAGACTACACCACATCCCATTGCGTCTAATAGTTTACATCTAAGTATAAGAAAATACATACATTATTATTATATTCTTATTAGACCCTTGGGTTCCTAGTGGAACATAGGGCTTCACTAGCACACCTCCAGTGAACTCTGTTCTCTGAGATCTCTTGAACCTGCATCCACGACAGCCCACAAGCTCTCATTTCGTCCTCGCACGATCTCCTCCATGTCACACTCGCCTCTAACTCCCAACTCGTCGCTTCCCATGGGGATTCCAATCGAGCAACTGGCCTGACGCGTGATGTCCCCAGTCGGCCTTCTCAGTGTATGCCCAATCCATCTCCATTTCCTCCTGCATATTTGTTGAGTGATAGGTTCTTGCTTTGTTGGTTCGTTGCCAGAGCTCCTTGTTGCTTATTCTTATTATTGTGGCCATCTGATCTTCATTAGCGAGCCAGCGTAAGCAGTTGTTGATGAATGTCTGTAGTTTATTGGAAATCCCTTTCGTGACACGCCTTGCCTGGTTAACTAGTTCACTGGTTACTAGCCGGTCCTAAGCCCGGGCAAAGAGGGAAGGTTGGGCATAGGGCTAGCAACCCTACCCCGTAAAACAAATCTAACCGCTAAAGAAACTTCAAATCGCAAACGAAATATAAAAAAATAAGAAAATACATACATAAGGAACTAATTGAGATATATCCTTGAAGATAGTGGAATATATGCTGAAATAGCCACAAACGTAACTTATGTCAGTTAGAGATACTTCTAAGATTTTGTGCAGCTTTTTCCTGAGGATTTCTCTTTGTTCTTATTTGTATTGGCTGCTTGATTTTTCAATTGCAGAAATCAGCATTGTCATGTGTTGTGTGTTGTGAGTATGCTTTCCAGTCTTGCCTTTTGATTGTTAATCACTAATTGGTATTTCCCGATCCGATGGTGAGCATCTGCGATCATTAATTGCATCCTTTGTCCTCTACTTTGTATTCAGATACTTTCCATCTTATTGGAAAATTATTCAGTGGCCTATATCTGATAATCTTCGGGCAAAACATGCTGACTTAGGAACATATGCAGAAAGAAAAAATTCTTCTTTTGAGGAAGCTTGCCTTCTGGAGACGTTGCCACATCTTCGAACAAGGCAAAGCACGTCAGCATCGTACGATTTTCAATCATCACTAAGCTTCCCGCTGTGAATTTACTCAATAAAATTATAGTTTCATCATTTACATATCAGTTCTGAAATAGTGGGGAGAGAATATTTGTAGCTCAGGTGGATGGTCTTGATTGTATTGTGATCTCTGGATTCTTCAATCGTAAAGATATCATCTTCTTTCTTTCTAAACGATATCGTCAAGTCAACAATTCAATGACGAATTAATTGTATCCTTCAATGTCACAGTATTATACATATACATCGAACCACAACTGGTCAATGAAACTATGTCCCTTCTGCTCAATGAAGACACAAGCCCTCAGAAAGCACAAAACACACAAATATCAAGTCATGGAACTCATCCACCTTCATCTGACAACATACTTCCAATTCAATGACAAATATACAAACAGATGAAAGGGACTGTAATGGGATGACTGATATTTGGACTAATTGGAGAAGCAGTGATGCAGAGACTGGAAATTATCATCCTACCTGTGATTAAACTGAGATTTCGGATTCTCTATGTGGATGATGTAGAGAACACTGACAATTTGATCAACAACGTTCCAGTGACAACCAATTCACAATGGAGAAGGAGTCAAACAACCAACAACCATCTACCATTCTGGATGTTTCAGTCAACAGAAGAGAATGTGGGCAAGCTGGAAAGCCAAGTGTACAGGAAGCCGACACACACTGACCAACTCCTCAAACACAATAGCAACAACCCAACAACACACAAGATCACTTGTGTGCAGACTGTATTGAGAAGAGCGAGAACACATTGCAGCACAACAACTTCATGGAGAAACGAAGAGAATTACTTGATGTCCATCGTAAAGAAGAACAACTACCCACAAAACTTTATCACAACATGCCTATCCCACACATCATCAACTACAAAGTCATCCACAGAAATCAACAAATGCATCATCCCATCATACACAAAGAATGTAATCGAAATGACGACAAGATTGTTGAGTCAAACCACTTGGAATTGGTGTGACTGGCTCATAAACCAACAAATTCACTACAAGCACTATTATATTATAATGTGGACCAAAGGATACAACAAGCAAAGAAGACAAATCGAATATCATTTACAAAATCAACTGGAATAACTGTGGTGAAGACTACACTTGACAGAGAGAGTGGTTGCCCTCTTCACCTTCGTCATTTACATGAACACGAGTTGGTTATTAAGCGTCAGGCACGAGATTTGATCACTCATCTCTGAATACGCGTGGATAACAACTATGGACATGAAGTGAATCTTGACAATGTAGACATTTTTGAGTGAGAGAGGAGACACAGAGAATATCAGAGAATTGCTAGGAGTTGGCTTTCACATCAGTCAGCAATACATGAAGCAATGAGGAAGAGGATGAGCGGCAGAAATGTGAGAGTTGAAGGAGAGGAACAGTGAACAGGAACGTCTACGCAGCCAGTCAATGACACAACAATCGAAGGAGACAAGTAGTTACAGATCACATGGTTGGATCGAGCTAGTGAATCATTGGTGGAGAGATATTGACATCTCACTTCATACTGAAGTTATTGCTTTTGATGATGTTGCTCTCTAGGAAGATGATGACAGCTTTACGATTAAAGAACAAGCCAGCTCGCCAGGGAACACAATACAACCAAGATACTAGTTGCGTACTTTGGTGTCAAAACGATGCTTCTCTAAGAACATTACAAAGCTATAGATTAATCTATGTGAATTACCAATAAATTATTATTTTTCGAGGTTAAAATATGTTAAAGATAGGCGAAATTCCATATCATATAAAATAACCACCACTTTTAAAATCTTTGTGAATATGCTTTATACAATCAAATATGATTTTTTTTTAAGCCTTTTTATTGTTCTGTGTATGATATTTCATTTTATGTACAGATAGTTGATGTTGAAGTAGAAGGAACTCAGAGAATTAACAATATACTTGGTGATAGTCTTGGCTTCGAAGACAGTGAACTTGGTAAGAGATCAGATACAATTTGATAATAATTGATTTGTTTAAGAATATGGTTATTTATGAAAGTATAATGCTTTGAAGCATAAACATTGAGTAAGTATACCTTAGAGTGTCAATATTCCTCTACTGCTATGAAACCATTGGGGAGTAATTATGATGCTGATAACATAGAGAAGACAGAGGTGATGATGATATCCAACCAACGCTACTACCAACAACAACAAGCTCAAATGACTATCAACGGGAGAAACTTGAAGGGAGTAGCCTCTTTCAACTACCAACTTAGCAGAACTGTTTCAACCACAGGTGGCACAGACGAGGATGTCAAATCCAGCCAGGATCAGAAAGACAATAAGACAGAAGTTCATTAACCTGAAACCAATATGGAGATCTTCTACACTCAACTCAGCATAAAGCGTGAACAACATACAGATTTTCAACACCAATTCAGTCAAGTCAATGTTTCTGTATGGTTCAGAGGCTTGGCGCGTTACGAAAGGGATTTCCAACAAACTACAGATATTCATGAACAGCCGCCACCAACGCTCACACAACACTGAATATCAGATGGCCACAATAATAAGAATAAGCAACAAGGAATTCACTGTGGCTGGCAACGAACCAACAAAGCAAGAAGCTATCACTGAAGAAATATGTATTGGAAGGAAGTGGAGATGGATTAGGCATACACTGAGAGTGCCATAGGTGGACATCACCAGTTCGGCCAGATGCTTGACTGGAACCCAGATGGGAAACGATGAGTTGGTCGTTGTAGGTGAGGGTGATATGGAGAGGATGGTGTGAGGAAGAAATGAGAGTTTGTGGTCAGTGGTGGAGTCATGTTTTAAAGATTGCAGAGAAGAGAGTGAGTGTAATGGAGATGTGCTAGTGAATCGGTATTTTCCACTAGGTACCCAATGGTCAAATAATAATACTATGCTGTTAGATACAGTTACAGGCAATATATATTCAATCAGTTTTATGTCAGTATTCAGTCACCTGAAGAAGAAGTGACCTTTCATGGTGTGACCAGCCAAATAGTATCGATGCCTTTTCACCTCTGTCATCCCTCAAGATCTCTCAACCCTGTTTGCTATTTTTGAGATTGAATCTCTCTTCACATTTTGCATTCAGTACTCCTATAAAACAAGAATTGGTGTTCATTATTGTCAACTAACTTATTGATGAAAATAGTCTGTGAAAGACTGCTGCCCATTACTGGACAGTGATCAAGCGTTGATCTGAGTATACTCAGGTTTGCGCTTAATTTGAAATGAGAAAATTACAACTCCAAGATCATTCATTCGAAAAGCAGCTTGATAACAAAAATACTTAAACCACTTTCAACTAATAACTGATAGAATCCCTTCTACTGAAAGAATCTGTCACCATTTCCAGTATGATGGGAAAAAACAGCGTTGGGAATCATATCTGCCTCTCTCAATGGTTATCAACAACCCTTCAAGATTCATGAATGAAGGTGAAGGTATTTCTGTAGGCTAGTTGTAGAATAAGAAGTTTAACCAACTGGAATGTAGAGTAAAAGAAGTTTATACAATGACTGTTTGTAGAGGTGGGTAACCAAGTCTAAGGAAATGGGAAAGGCAGCAGCGTTGGGTAATAGCTGACGTATCTAGGAAGCTAGGGTGAAGAGATTATTAGGTTACGATACGGTGGTGGAACAGGACAGGTCAGTGATTCACTGATTGAGGATACGACTGGAACGAATTGGAGAACACATGGAGGGACTGTTCAACTGGGATCCACCTAGTGTTCCGTTGCCCACCATCCAGTCAGTACCTGAATGAAACACTGGAATACGACGGCCAGTGCTTGCAACATTGAGAAGGCTAAGGAATAAACTGAAACGAGAAAAGCCATCATTTTCAGTTGAGCTAGCACCATAGGTGTCTAAAGGTGGGATTCAAGATTATTGGTTAGGTAAAATGAAGTGTAAGGTTGCGTATGCCAGTCAAAGATGATTCTTTTCTAGATAGTCCCAATCACTGGTTGTCAAGTCTTCCTGAGTGGAGAGAAATCCTCATCCAACGACTACTGGGGCCTCAGTCTGATGCATACAGTGCTTAAGATAGCAGAAACTAAGATCATTCGAAGTCTAAGTGAAACTCGGGAACAGCGAACTCAATAAAGTCAAGCAGAATTTAGACCTGATCGTGAAGGTACCGACCAGATGTTCAGTTTGCAGAAGATCTTGAAACGCAGTCTCACCTATCATTACCGCATACAATAGCTGAACTTCTTTACCTAAAGACAGAGTTCTACTCTATTCATCCAGAGGACTGTTGCTTATTGTAAAGAGTGCCTGCATAAGTACGTTGCTGTGTTGAAGCCTCCGTATTCAAACAAGCATTGGCATGTTAGAGCTTATGGTGAATTATCAAACGAGTTGCATTTGTCAAGTGGTGTCCTTCGAAGATGCCTACTCTCTCTCTCTCTCTCTCTCTGTTCTTCTTCATTTTGTCACATATGTGATTGTGGACATCTCTCTCTCTCTCTCTTCTCGTATGACTTTGAAGGGATTGTAGATGACCTATTCTCATTAGATGGAGGCACTGATATGATACAGAGGTTTATTAACCTATCATTCCCATAGTTTCTTGGCATAATTATCATCAAATGAATAAAAAACTTAGATTTACATTATTGCTAGTAGATTACCATCACTGAGTGGAACTGTTATCATTCTGGGTTTGAAGCTACAGACACTGGCTTCTAAGCACCAGTGGGGGTAACCATCACTTACTTGGAGTCAACCATATTCAAGTAACAGGTCGTGAATAGGATGGAGCATACATCCCGGATTCCTATCCCAACTATTATCCACCATTGGTTTCGGAGTGTGATTAATATGTCAGGATTACTATTCTATTCAGCGAAAATGTGATATATATATATATATATATATATATATATATATATATATATGCCTTGATATAATCTATAACCGTTTTCTTCACCTAATTTTTTTTCCCTTTCCTTAGCTTTCTACATTTATACACTGGCTAAATCATCGAAATATCCAAGAGATTTAGAATGGCATATAAATAATAGTAAATTATTTGAGTTCAACTTATCGAAACTTTAATAAATTCATTTTGGAAAGCAGCAAATTTACAAGATTATTCATTAACTTCATCACAATACAAATATTATTATCCAGTGTTTGATTTAAAAACGGATGTATAAATTCAATTGAATACATTGAACATTTAACGTTTTTTGGCGTATATTTTAAATTATCTATACAAGCTTAACTATATTATTGTGTAAATTGATTATTGTTTACTGATGAAGTTTTTCTCCTTTGTAATATGAGAAAGAAGGGAGAAAAGAAAAATACTTTCATAATGAACAGATTGACTAACTAGCTATCATTTCGTTATCAGATGATACTGTTTGTCAAGATTACTGAATAATCAATGATCATTAACAGTAACTTTCCTATTGACTATCATCTGTGTTTATACCACCTTACAAATTCAATGTTTGAACTATCTACTTATGCTTCATAAATAATATTTATGAATAAATTTTATTATTATTATTATTATTACTCCCTTGGGTTCCTAGTGGAACATAGGGCTTCACTAGCACGTCTCCAGTGACCTCTGTTCTCTGAGATCTCTTGAACCTGGCTCCATGACAGCCCACAACCTCTCATTTCTTCCTCGCACGATCTCCTCCATGTCACACTCGCCTCTAACTCCCAACTCGTCGCTTCCCATGGGGATTCCACTCGAGCAACTGGCCTGATGCGTGATGTCCTCAGTCGGCCTTCTCAGTGCATGCCCAATCCATCTCCACTTCCTCCTGCATATTTGTTGCGTGATAGGTTCTTGCTTTGTTGGTTCGTTGCCAGAGCTCCTTGTTGCTTATTCTTATTATTGTGGCAATCCATCTGGTCTTCATTAGCGAGCCAGCGTAGGTGGCAGTTGTTGATGAATGTCTGTAGTTTATTGGAAATGCCTTTCGTGACGCGCCAAGTCTGTGCGCCATACAGAAGCACTGACTTGACTGGGTTGGTGTTGAAGATCCGTATCTTGTTCCGCATGCTGAGTGCAGAAGATCTCCAAACTGGTTTCAGGCTAATGAAGGCCTGTCTTGCTTCCCCGATTCTGACTTTGACGTCCTCGTCCGTCCCGCCTGTAGTTGAAACAGTGCTTCCTAGATAAGTGAAGGAGGTTACTTCCTTCAAGTTTCTCCCGTTGACGGTGATTGGAGTTTGTTGTTGTTGTTGTTGGTGGTGGTGCGGTATCTTCATCACCTCTGTCTTCTTTATATTCACCTGAAGTCCCGTCTTAGCTGCCTCTTCTATCAACTTGTTAGTTTTTGCCTGCAGATCTTCAAGTTTGTGTGACATTAGGCATAAGTCATCGGCGAAATCCAAGTCTTCTAGGTTCTTTTCTGCAGTCCAGTTTATCCCCCTCTTCTCGCTGCCCACTGTTTACTGCATGATCCAATCGACCACAATCAGGAATATCATAGGGGATAGTAGGCAACCTTGTTTCCCTCCTGTCTTCACTTCAAAAGCATTACTGAGCTTCCCATTGTGAATTTACTCAATAAATTATAGTTTCATCATTTACATATCAGTTTTGAAATAGTTAGGAGAGAATATTTGTAGCTCAGGTGGATGGTCTTGATTGTATTGTGTTCTCTGGATTCTTCAATCGTAAAGATTTCATCTTCTTTCTTTCTAGACGATATCATCAAGTCAACAATTCAATGACGAATTAATTGTATCCTTCAATATCACAGTATTATACACATACATAGAACCACAACTGGTCAATGAAATTACGTCCCTTCTGCTCAATGAAGACACAGGCCTCTCAGAATGCACAAAACACACAAATATGCAAGTCAAATGGAACTCATCCACCTTCATCTGACAACATACTTCCAATTCAATGACAAAATATACAAACAGATGAAAGGGACTGTAATGGGATGACTGATATTTGGACTAATTGGAGAAGCAGTGATGCAGAGACTGGAAACTATCATCCTACCTGTGATTAAACTGAGATTTCGGATTCTCTATGTGGATGATGTAGAGAACACTGACAATTTGATCAACAACGTTTCCAGTGACAACCAATTCACAATGGAGAAGGAGTCAAACAACCAACAACCATCTACCATTCCTGGATGTTTCAGTCAACAGAAGAGAATGTGGGCAAGCTGGAAAGCCAAGTGTACAGGAAGCCGACACACACTGACCAACTCCTCAAACACAGTAGCAACAACCCAACAACACACAAGATCACTTGTGTGCAGACTGTATTGAGAAGAGCGAGAACACACTGCAACACAACAACTTCATGGAGAAACGAAGAGAATTACTTGATGTGCATCGTAAAGAAGAACAACTACCCACAAAACTTTATCTCAACATGCCTATCCCACACATCATCAACTACAAAGTCATCAACAGAAATCAACAAATGCATCACCCTATCATACATAAAGAATGTAATGGAAGTGACGACAAGATTGTTGAGTCAAACCACTTGGAATTGGTGTGACTGGCTCATAAACCAACAAATTCACTACAAGCACTATTATATTATAATGTGGACCAAAGGATACAACAAGCAAAGAAGACAAATCAAATATCATTTACAAAATCAACTGGAATAACTGTGGTGAAGACTACACTTGACAGAGAGAGTGGTTGCCCTCTTCACCTCCGTCATTTACATGAACACGAGTTGGTTATTAAGCGTCAGGCACGAGATTTGATCACTCATCTGTGAATACGCGTGGATAACAACTATGGACATGAAGTGAATCTTGACAATGTAGACATTTTTGAGTGAGAGAGGAGACACAGAGAATATCAGAGAATTGCTAGGAGGTTGGCTTTCACATCAGTCAGCAATACATGAAGCAATGAGGAAGAGGATGAGCGGCAGAAATGTGAGAGTTGGAGGAGAGGAACAGTGAACAGGAAAGTCAATACAGTCAGTCAATGACACAACAATCGAAGGAGACAAGCAGTTACAGATCACATGGTTGGATCGAGCTAGTAAATCACTGAGGGCGAGATATTGACATCTCACTTCATACTGGAGTTATTGCTTTTGATGTTGCTGTCTCGAAAGATGATGACAGCTTTACGATTAAACAACAAGCCAGCTCGCCAGGGAACACAATACACCCAAGACATCATGTCAGTTTTATTAGCAATTGACGATACCAACATGTTTTACATTATAAGATGATGTCAGTTGAAAATCAGTTGACAACGATGGACTAGTTCTTCAGTGTTTCAGGAATGGAGAATGCTATTGCTTAGTGATGATACAAACGTTGGATGTGTTCTGCTAAATAATCGTCCACTAGAGTGTAACCTCCTCATAGCTGAAAACAAATACTATAACCATTAACGCATTCGCCGTGAAACGTTAAGATTCTGAGTTCGATCCCTTGCTAGGTCGCGGGTGCGTGCTGCTGAGAAGTCCCATACCAGTACGAAGCAGCTGTCTAGTGTTTTCAGATTTTTTGTAGAACATCTCACTTATTCAATCGAAATATATAAAATACTGTAAGAATTCATGTAAGAAGTTTATCTTTTGACACAATGTTTATTTTTGTGTTAGCGCATTATTTATGATGTCATGATGTTTTTTCTGATGCTTGTAAATCCTGTCGGTGTTTGTCAGTTTCAGAAACATATGGTCTTCATCAATAGTAGCATAAGTGTTAAATCTATCAATTCCTATGTTGACACTTGTTGGTATGTTTTTCACCACCTCATTATTCTCTTGTACATCCGGTTTATATGAAGATCGTCTCGGTGATTACCAGTAGAATATACGATACGCGTTCTGCTCTATTTGGGATTCGGTATTTGAATATAACTACACTTCAGTGGATGATATCGTTCCGACTAATACTGATACCCAGTAGATATCGCTTCAAATGCCATAGGATTATCCAAATTGGTCAGGTGACGAGTTCAAAATAGAACAAAACGTGAGTCCTAGATTCCCCTACTAATCACTAAGGTGAACACAACTTCATAATTATCTAGCGGTATTCAGGCGTCTACAGTAGGTTTTAAGTCATTTGAAAGAGACAAAACATCTGTAATCAATCTGAAACCTCCACTTCTCCTAAGTTGGTTTGAAAGATTATCATTCTCTTTCATCCCATTGTGTCGTTGTGTATGGTTCGATACATTCAAATAGCTGAGCTTTTCTCATAATTCTTTGACATACTGGGATTGCTTGTATTATACGGTTCAATAACACCAAAAGTAAGTTTGGACAGAAGTTTTGTAAGATGACGATGACATGATTGGAAAGAGAATTGTGATCAGGCAGAGGATAGCAATAAGAATGAGTAGTAAATTACTTGAGAAATGAATAGTATCAAAATGGAAAACTGAAAAGTTGGCGTGGGAGGGAGTACGGAGGGGATTTCAAGGACTGAAAACTAAGATCATGAAACGAGAAGGCAGCCAGGTATAAGGGTCCGGTCGATGCGACTGTTATCCATAAAGTGTTCAAGAACACTATCCAACGTGATTACAAGGGGGTAACAATGCAGCTATAAAAAGTATCATAGTTGAGCACATCGTGGACACTAATCACCCCATCTCATGAACCTCCTCATCTATAAAGTGAAAAGAAACCTCATAACGGCTGTATGTTTACGTATTCTCTACATCGCCGAAGCTGTCGCCATTCATATGGAGAACTGTGTATGCTAAGAAGATTGTTCACGCCTTTTCCTTTCATCGTCTTACTTTTCGGAGGCCTTTATACCCTCCTTTCTCTGTTTTCAAACTATTCATTTCTTAAGTAAATAGATACTAGGGACTGGGAACGCATCTTGTCCCTATTTTATCATTTATTTATTTTATTATTTGTTACATGGGTTCATAGTGGAAAATACCGATTCACTAGCACATCTCCATTACACTCATTCTCTTCTCTGCAATCTTTAAAACATGACTCCACCACTGACCACAAACTCTCATTTCTTCCTCACACCATCTCCTCCATATCACCCTCACCTACAACGACCAACTCATCGTTCCCCACCTGGGTTCCAGTCAAGCATCTGACCGAACTGGTGATGTCCACCAATGGCCTTCTCAGTGTATGTCCAATCCATCTCCACTTCCTTCCAATGCATATTTCTTCAGTGATAGCTCCTTGCATTGTTGCGTCGTTGCCAGCCACAGTGAATTCCTTGTTTTTTATTCTTATTATTGTGGCCATCTGATATTCAGTGTTGTGTGAGTGTTGGTGGCAGCTGTTGATGAATATCTGTAGTTTGTTGGAAATGCCTTTCGTAACTCGCCAAGTCTCTGAGCCATACAGAACACTGACTTGACTGAATTGGTGTTGAAAATCCGAATGTTGTTGACGCTTTATGCTGAGTTGAGTGTAGAAGATCTCCATATTGGTTTCAGGTTAAGGAAGGTGAGGTTTTTTATCCTTTAATATAGTATAAGCAGCTCTTCCTTGTTCTTCAGTCCATAACTAAACTGATTTGCAACCAGAAATTAGTTTATGTGTCAACACTGGA